TTTTTTTCCACCTTACAAAGCAATGGGACGTCTAGTAAGTTATTGTGGCCCCCCCCAAAAGGCACGTGCATTTCTTTTACGTTATATTTTAACCTTCAAAATGCTAAGCAATTGATTTAAAAGCCACAAACATTCTTTGAAGTTGTCATATTTAAATACTTATGAACGATCCTTCAATAAGTTATCCGTTATTTTTTATTTATTTATTTGTTCAATTTCTGTAGCCGCCCTGGGCAGCTTACAATTCAAAAAATATATTACAGTTTTTAAACTATTAAAATATAAAATAGTAAAATATTTAAAAATCAGTGTATTAAAATATATTACAGCTAAAGATATTAAAAGCATCTTAAAACAATAGAAAGAATAAAAATATAGTAAATATATAGCTTTGATATATTTTTTCGAGGGAGGAAGGAAGCTCGGAGTTTCATTTGTTGTTGAAGTGAAACTTTTTGCTATCCTTTTCTCAGAAATTCAATTTACTTTTTAAAAAATCAATTAACTGCTAAACATGTGAATTAAAACGAACATAGCCAAAAGGACGATTAAGGTGGAATAATGTAACACGTGTTTCTAGAAATTTCTTTTTTTAAAACAACAACAACACATTTTATTAGTTTTCCATTTTACACCAACAAGGCTTAAGAACCAACGTGGAGATAGGGTAGTCAATTAAAAAACAATAACATTATAAATATACAGCTCACACAATGTTCCTTAAAATTTCCCTATCTGTTTAGGATATTATGATCAAATTAATACATTTCTCAAACAAATTCATTCATTAATGTATCTCTAGATATAAATTCCATTAATCAATAACAATTTTCAACAGCTCATTATCCCATTAAAAACCTGTTTTACGCTTTATTAATTTTTCAAATGTTTAAACTTAAACTAACACTTTCTATCTATTTAAAATATTATAATCAAATTAATACATTTCTAAAACAAATTCATTCGTTAATATATCATTACATATAAATTCCATTAATCAATAAAAGTTTGCAAAAACTCATTATCTATCCCATAGGATCCTGTTTTACGCTTTATTAATTTTTCAAATATTTAGACTTAAACTAACATATTTATTTACTATTCAGGTGCCCCTAATTTCTCTTGTTTACACATGTTATTTCCATAACTAAATTCTTACATTTCTCAACTACATTCTATTCTTTTTCAATAATTCTCCAATTATTAATTTCTTAGTTTTTTGAAGAAAGAGGAAAGGAACAAAAGAATTTCTCGGGATGATAATTTAGGAAATAAAACAGTTTCTGCATAAACACTGTGAAGCAACAAGAACACAGGATAGAAATGACTTTACAAACAAACAAAAAATAAACAAATAGTAAAACCTTTTTCATTAATGTTATTTAGAGAAGAATATTTATTGTTCTGGAACTGAATATGAATCTCCACACAGTTGCCAGGAGAAGCAACAACATACAACTAGATCCTGTGGGTAATATAATATTAATGAAAAGCAGAATCTGAATCCTATATACTTCCATAGTTTGCAAATAATCCCAATTCAGGAAAAACCGAGAAAAAAAACCCATCCGTTTTCCAGGAGTAGCATATAATTACATTTTCCTCATTTTCATAGTTGTTTTGAGTCTAGAACAGTGGTTCTCAACCTGTGGGTCGGGACCCCATTTGGGGTCGATCGACCATTTCATGGGGGTCGCCAAGCAAGGCTGTCCGCCATTTTTTTTGTCCGCCATTTTTTTTGTCCGCCATTTTTTTCCCCTTTTCCGGTGGGTGCCTTACCTCCCTTGGGCTGGGCCAGCTGGTGGTCGGCCTGCTCCGTCTCTGCCGCTTGCCAGCTACGCCTCGGCCGGCGCAGGGGGCGGAACCACGCATGTGTGGCGCTCCCGGGCAGGGAAAGTCCTCGACTTACGACCGGTTGGGTAGTCCTCGACTTACGGCCGGTTTAGTCCTCGACTTACGACCGGTTTAGTCCTCAACTTATGACTGGTTGGGGTCGCGGCATTAAAAAGGTTGAGAACCACTGGTCTAGAATCCAGCCCACAAGATATCTAAAATATAGAAATGCGTGTTTCTCTTACTTTTTCCTCACAGATTCTCTTTTCCTTTTATGGTGTTGCACAATTGGTGGAGCTGTTTATTTATTTATACAGAAATGCAATTGATAAGCTGCTGGCCTGCCAATCACTTTGGGTGGTTCATGGTTACGGGTAGCCCTTAACTTACAAGAGTTCATTTACTGACATTTTATTCCCTTGCTTTGAACACTGGAAGACCCATGTCTCTGTAGACATCACATTTCCTGTGTTGTACTTCAAGCATTCTTACCCTGCTGGTAAAACGAGGGTCATTTTAGGGGTGGTGGTGGTGTTTTTAAATAGAACTTTTTGACAGGATGATAAAGTGAAGATTTTTTGGAGAAAGCCGGTGCCAGCTTAAAAAGAGGAATTCTGTTGCTGAGATTGTTTTTTGTTCCTCCACACCCAGCACTGACATTTTTTAAGCTGCATGCTTTTTTCAGACTTGACAAGAATATGGCTGCATAAATCAGTCTTCAAACAAATTGGAAGCACTTTGGATCGAGGGCTGTGACGGTGTTATCAGAAGCTACCTTGTCTCGGCAACTGATTGGATGTGTATTTATATAAAGGAGAGTTTCCTTTCCATATGGCTGGCTTGAATTTCCCCCAGGGGATGGGTGTGTTTTAACAGCAATAATTAGTACCCAGAGAAGAGAATATTTGTAGCTCAGGTTGAAATGAGGGGCCCTTGGTGCTCTCTGAGCTTGGTTGTTTTCTTGCAGACGTCTCAGTATCCAACTAGGTAACATCATCAGTGTCAGAATGGAGTGGGATTTCATTTCTGATTACATACAAGTGGCTTCACCTATCAGTGGCTGGAGAGTGCTTGGTGGTGCCTCCCATTAGGCTGTGTTTACAGTAAGGGCAAGCCACTTGTAAAGGCCCTTGTCTGATTCCTCCTCCTTTCAGCCTAGCTGGCAGCTTCCCAACACAGGCTATTCAGACTGTGGATTTGCCTTGGCGTTTTGCAGAACCTTGCAGGTTATTTCCTAGCTATTGCTAGCTATATCATAGTTAGAAAGACAGTGCTAAACTTCCCAGCACCCACCAAACCGAGTCCTTCTTCAGAAAAAGATGGTCTCTTTCTACAGCCACCTGCCCCAAAAGACTTGGTTCTGAGGAAGGACATTGTACCCCTCTGGAGAAGATTTATGTGTTTATTTGTTGATTAGATTTTTTTTTATTATGCCTTAATTACTTTATAAGTAACTCAAGGAGGCAAACATACTTTCCTTTCTCCTCTTATTTTCCCCACAACAACCCTACGGACTACATTGGGTTGAGAGAGAGTGACTGGCCCAAAGTCACCTAGCAGGCTTTGATGCCTAAGGCGGAACTAGAACTCACCGTTTCCTGGTGTTTGACCCAAAGTCACCCAGCCGGATGTCATGCCTAAGATGGAACAAGAACTCCCAGTCTCCTGGTTTGTAGGCCAGCATCTTAACCATTAAGCCAATTGTACTTATAACTAGGGCATTTCATGAGCTACTATGATAAATCAAGATTTCTTCCACAGTGAGGATGAGTTTAACCCAGACATGTCAAACTCGCGACGTCACGTGACATCACGCAATGTATCGGGATGGTTTTGCCATTGCCGGCAATGGGGTGGGTGTGGCTTCCAGATGACGCATGTGGCCCGTGGGCCGGCAGTTTGATACCCCTGGTTTAACCATTCTTACCTGCACTCTCTCCTCTGCTGGGACACAAGAATGCATGTGATTGTTTGATGTTTCTAGCAGTTTTAATTAGTTATACTTAGTGTGACATCTGAACCTTGAGCTGTTGTCTTCTTTAATGACAGTTGTTGAATTCCTGATTGACCCTGGATTTTTTTCCATTAACTTTCCTTTCCTTTTTCCTCCTTCCAGTTAAGCATAACTCCTAGTAATTTCACAGACAGATTCTTCAGAAAAAGTTTGCCATTCTGTTCTTGTTTCTGGATTCTCAGTCTACCTATAACCTTGATATTTATCATTAATCTAAATTAAAATAATTGTAGCTTTGACTGGGGAATTTCTCCCATATGGATAATGGTCTTTCTCATGAGATGGAGTATGGCTAAACCAGGGGTAGGCAACCTTGGCTCTTTTATGACTGGTGGACTTCAACTCCCAGAATTCCTGAGCCAGCATGGCTCAGCTTAGAAACCTCTCCCTTTCCCCTCAGCGTGGCTGGCTCAGGAATTCTGGGAGTTGAAGTCCACGAGTCATAAAAGAGCCAAGGTTGCCTACCCCTGCCCTATACCATAGGAAAGCTATAGAGAAGGTCCATCGTAAATTTTAACCGCTACACTTTTATAAAAAAAAAATACAAGAAACATAGCACAGTTTCTGAAAACTCAATGAAGTGTAGGGAAGATTCTTCATCTAATTTTTTAATTTCCTTATTACAAGTAGTCCTTGGCTTATGACCACAGTTGAGCCCAAATTTTCTGTTGCTAGGTGAGATGGTTGTTAAGTGAATTTTGCCCCATTTTACAGCCTTTCTTGTCTCAGTTGTTAAGTGAATCATTGCAGTTCAGTTAGTAACCTAGTTGTTAACTGAATCTGGCTTCCCCTTTGATTTTGCTTGTCAGAAGATTGTGAAAGGTGATCCCGTAACCCCGGGATACTGCAACCGTCATAAATATGAGTCAGTTGCCAAATGTTTGAATTTTAATCACGTGACGATGGAGAGGCTGCAACATAAGTATGAAAAACGGTCATAAGTCACTTTTTTTCCAGTGCCATTGTAACTTCAAATGGTCCCTAAATGAACTATTGAATGTCAAGGATCACCTGTAGTCACCCAATCAAAACTGGATGACACTTTTCCCTCGTACAACTTTCAGCTTTATATACCTGCCTCATGTTTGTTCTTGGAGGAGTGGAATTGTGTTGTTTTGTGCTAAAATGTACATTTTCCCCCCTTCTTTCACAGCTGTTCCATGTGGCCTATGTACTGATCAAGTTTGCAAATTCCCCCCGTCCAGACCTGTGGGTACTTGAGCGGTCAACTGATTTCGGAGTTACCTATGATCCTTGGCAGTACTTTGCCTGTAAGTATGAGAGCAAATTAAAATAGCTTACTCGTGAGAAATCCATCTGTCTATTCATGATGTTTGCAAAGAATGTTGTGCATCTCTTCTGCCTTAAGTGCGCTTGAGGTAAGTGAAGAAATGTCTATGCCAGGGGTAGGCAACCTTGGCTCTTTTATGACTCGTGGACTTCAACTCCCAGAATTCCTGAGCCAGCCATGCTGAGGGGAAAGGGGGAGGTTTCCAAGCTGAGCCATGCTGGCTCAGGAATTCTGGGAGTTGAAGTCCACGAGTCATAAAAGAGCCAAGGTTGCCTACCCCTGGTCTATGCAGAGGTTTTGCATTCCAGCTGCGACTTGCACGAGAGACATCACCTGAGAGAGCTCGGAGACAATTCTCCCTTTTCATTTCTTCATTACCCAATTTGATGAGCTCTGGTGGCACAGTGGTTAGAAAACAGTACTGCAAGCTAATTCTCCTGAGTGCCGTCTGCCACCACTTCGGCAGTTCGATCCTTACCAGCTCAAGTTTGACTCAGCCTTCCATCCTTCTGAGGTCAGTAAAATGAGGAACCAGATTGTTGGGGGCAATAGGCTGACTCTGTAAACCGCTTAGAAAGGGTTGTAAAGCACCGTGAAGCAGTATATAAGTCTTAAGTGCTATTACTATTGCTATTGCTACGTATTCTGGATGTAACCAATTTTATGGCATCCCTTAAGCAAGTTTATTTATTTAATTTATTTACCAAATTTAGGCACCGCTCATCTCCCTATTTAAGTGACTCTGCATGGTTTACAGATAAAAGGGCATAAAATCATGTAAAAAAATACAGCTGAAACAGAATTGAAACTGAATGACAAAAAGATAAAAGTGGAGATTAAGAGATAAGTTAAAAGGTGGGAGGGGAGCTCTGAGACCACCAACCATCCCCAAAGTTTGCGCACCACTTGCCAGGAGGATAACCTTGTGTTATGACAAGGTCAAAATTACTGTATTTTGTAGCTTAGATAAAATGCATTTCTGGCTACCTGGTGTTCTTCACTGTTCTCTGGAAAAAGAAATGTAAGGAAATTCGGTCAGAGAATTTGTTTTCTCAGTATGAAACTGCCTACTGTTCGCAGAGCAAATCTGATACAGGTCTTCGAATTACAACAGTTCATTTAGGGACCATTCAAAGTTACAACGGCACTGAAAAAAGTGACTTATGACAGTTTTTTCCACGCTTAATGAGCGTTGCAGCATCCCCAGGGTCACATGATCAGAATTCAGACTCTTGGAAACTGACTCATATTTATGATGGTTGCATGATCCCCCTTTGCAACCTTCTGACAAGCCGAGTCAATGGGGAAGCCAGTTTCACTTAACAACCGTGTGGCTAACTTAACAACTGCAGGGATTCACTTAAAAATGGTAGCAAGAAAGATTGTAAAACGGAGCAAAGCTCACTTAACAAATGTCTCACTTAGCAACAGAATTTTGGGGCTCCATTGCAGTCATAAGTCGAGGACTGTCTGTACTTAAGTTGGCCAAATGCATCGGTTTCCTCTGAAAACACATCCATTTCAAACAAATGGAGAGAACGCAAGTTGTTTGAAAGTATTAAACACCGGCTTCTCCAGGGAGAAGTAATAGTAATTGGTAGAAGATGTGAATTCAGTTTTATGATGATTTGTTAAACAGAAAAACCTGGAAAAAGAATATCTGGGAGAATAAAACAGGAACATTTTCTCTTGAGTGTGCTACACCTCACAGTTTTTGACAGTGAGGCATTAAGTTTACCTCACAGGTAAAAGAATAAGCGTCTTTATCCTAAAGAGGTTCTCAAACAATAACAGAAGGCTTTATGCCAATGACTTACATTTTATATATAGTGGTAGTTCAATCAATCAGAGCTGGAAGGGACCTTGTAGGTCTTCTAGCCCAACCCCTTGCTCAAGCAGGAGACCCTATACCATTTCAGACAAATGGCTGTCCAGTCTCTTCTTAAAGACTTCCAGTGTTGGAGCATTCCTCGCTTCTGGAGGCAGGTTGTTCCACTGGTTAATTGTTCTAACTGTCAGGAAGTTTCTCCTTAGTTCTAGGTTGCTTCTCTCCTTGATTAGTTTCCATCCGTTGCTTCTTGTCCTGCCTTCAGATGCTTTGGAGAATAACTTGACTCCCTCTTCTTTGTGGCAGTCCCTCAAATATTAGAACTTTATTATTATTATTATTATTATTAACTGGAAGAAATCGTTCCTTGAATAATACATGAAGATTTATATAATAATATCGTGACTTATGACCGTTTTTCACACTTACAACCATTGCAGCATCCCCACGGTCATGTGATCAAAATTCAGACACTTGACAACTGACTCATACTTATGACGATGGCAGTGTCCCTGGGATCATGTGATCCCCTTTGGTGACCTTCTCACAAACAGTCAATGGGGAAGCCAGATTCCCTTAACAACTGTGTTACTAACATAACAATTGCAATGATTCCCTTAACAACTGTGGCAAAAAATCTCATAAAACAGGGCAAAACTCACTTAACGAATGCCTTACTTAGCAACGGAAATGTTGGGCTCAGTTGGGGTCGTAAGCGGAAGACTGCCTGTATAAAATGCAGTATTTGACTTTTTGTTCTGCATTTCTATATTTACAGTTTCCGGGTGAATAAGATTTTACATTTGTGTTTAGTAAAGATTCTAATCTTGTTAGATCTGAGAGTCTTTTGCCAAGTTAAGTTAATGCCTGAATTACTGCCTGGAAAACTGAGTGGTTTTGGATTTGAAGTTTAACATGTTTATTGGATTAGCGGGTTATCACCGTTAACAACTGAATTACTAAATCCAAGAATCCATTGGCTGCAATCATTTGCTCTGGGATAATCCCACCGAGTCCATCTGTGTGTTATTAATGCACAGACTGACCTAACAGACATATCTAATCGTCATACTACATAAAGTAGATGGATCTCTAGGTGCCCATAAACAATTGTTACTTTACTGTCATTGCTTCTAAGCTTGCAAAGTAAATTTCAGAGTACAAAAAAACCAAAAGAGTTAAGAAAGAAAAAGGAAAAATAAAAGAGAGAGCAGAATTTTTTATTTTAATAACAGTCACCGAAGCAAGTTTTTGTGCTGTGCATTTGAATAGCTTTACAGATAGTCCTCGACTTACAACCACAATTGAGCCCCAAATTTCTGTTGCTAAGCGAGACATTTGCTAAGTGAATTTTGTCTCAGTTTACTACAAGCTACAGGTAGTTTGTGAGTTATAAATAACTGAAATAATAGAACGCATATAAACCATATACTTTCCATTAAATGAATAAGTATCTTGTTTTTGTTCTTTAACTACAGATAGTGCTCGACCACAATTGAGCCCAAAATTTATGTTGCTAAGTGAGACAGTTGTTAAGTGAACCTTGCTCCATTTTACGACCTTTCTTGCCACATTTGTTAAGTGAATCACTGCAGTTGTTAAGTTTAGGAACATGGTTGTTAAGTGATTCTGGTGTCCCCATTGACTTTGATTGTCAGAAGGTTGCAAAAGGGGATCACCTGATCCCAGGGACACTGCAACTGTCATAAATATGAGTCAGTTGCCAAGCATCTGAGTTTTGATCACATGACCACGGGGAGGCTGCAATGGTCGTAAGTATGAAAAATGGTCATATGTCCGTTTGACCAATGCCATTGTAACTTTGAACGGTCACTAAATGAACTGTTATAAGTCAAGCACTATCTGTATTACTGCTTGCTAATTCTGCACACTTGTAACCTCTGCTCTGCAAGCCTTGTTTAGACTTTGTTGTTGTTAGTTGCGAAGTCGTGTCCGACCCTTCGCGACCCCATGGACAACGTTCCTCCAGGCCTTCCTGTCCTCTACCGTCTTCTGGAGTCCATTTAAGCTCACGCCTACTGCTTCAGTGACTCCATCCAGCCACCTCATTCTCTGTTGTCCCCTTCTTCTATTGCCCTCAATCTTTCCCAGCATCAGGCTCTTCTCCAGTGAGTCCTTCGTTATCATTAGGTGGCCAAAGTACTTGAGTTTCCACTTCAGGATCTGGCCTTCTAAAGAGCAGTCAGGGTTGATCTCCTCTAGGACTGACCGGTTTGATCGCCTTGCAGTCCAGGAGACTGGCAGGAGTCTTCTCAGCACCATAGTTCAAAGGCCTCAATTCTTTGGCGCTCAGCCTTTCTTATGGTCCAACTTTCACAGCCATACATTGCAACTGGGAAAACCATGGCCTTGACTATACGCACTTTTGTTGGCAGGGCGATGTCTCTGCTTTTTAGTGTGCTGTCTAGATTTGCCATAGCTTGTTTAGACTACATTGCTGAAAATTAACATGGCTATCCTTTAGTATTAGACTATCCTTAGAGTTTTCAAGTAACAAATTGGTGTGCTTATTTCACTAGCATCCAATTGGGATTCAGGACAATAATCTAAACGCATTTTTTTTCATAGTAATTGAAATCATATCTCCTTCAAATTGTAACTCACCATGTGGTCAGACTTACGTGCTCTATATGCTAAGCCGTATTATTTGTTTTAGGCTTACAAAGGGGTGTGAACTTGGCCGTTTTGACATGTGAAGCACATGTTGTGTTATGGCAGTCTTTCTTAACCTTAGCAACTTTAAGATCTATAGATTCCCAAAACTCCCCACTCAGGTCAATTCTGGGAACCAAGTCCACACATCTTAAAAGTTATCCTGGTTGAGAAATGCTGCTTTTGAGGATAGTATTAAGTGTGGAACAGCCTACTATGACTCGTTTAGCAAAACACGGTTCTTAGCCATAGCTGAGGAAAATATGTGAACCCAGCTTTGGAGAAATGTGAAGAGATAAGCCACCTGCCCCAGCAGAATTGATTTAATTTTGCTTCTTCCTTTAAGATAAGACTATTGCAAGCTTGGCAATCTGTACATTCTTTTGTGATGGATCGGTTCCTGCATAATTTTCAGGAAGACTTTATTCCAAACAAAAGTTTATCTGTCTTCTTCCTGATCCTCAACTTTCCAGCTGTTTTTGCAACTGTGCAAAATCTCAAGCTTCTTTTTTTTTTTGTTATTGGGATTCTCTGCGCTGTGCATTTATTTATTTGTTTGTTTGTTTGTTTGTTTGTTTCCCTTCGCTTGGAGACTTCTTCTGAAAAGCAAAGTTTTCCTCAAACACTTCCCAGATGTTAAACAACATATCTCCCAACATTCTTTTTTATTAAAAATAAGAGGATGTGGGAACTTCATCCAGGTGCCAGGAATTGAATTTATTTGATTGAATTTATGCGTGATGAATTTATGGGTGATGAATTACAACCTACAACACAACTGAGCCCAGAATTTTTGTTGCTAAGCGAGACAGTTATTAAGTGAATTTTGCCCCAGTTTACTACAAGCTACCTGTATGTGAGTTATAAATAACTGAAATAATAGAATGCTGGGTATATGCCCCATATTCATCCTATTTAATAATCTGAACTCCTTCTGCAGCTTCTGGATTATTGGAAATAAGGACGGCAGAAAAAGAGATAAAATATTTTCCTATGCTGATCTCAAATGCAACTTCCATGCTCAGGCAGTAATTTGTATTCTTCCAGCTTTATAGAAGATGGACCTTTTTTTTAAGGATTTGGTCTGGTAGCAACATCACAAGAAGTTCTCATGGCACTTAAAAACAAAACAAAAAAATCTCAATGCTCTATTTTCATTTTCCAGTTTATCCTAAACCAGGGGTAGGCAACCTTGGCTCTTTTATGACTCGTGGACTTCAACTCCCAGAATTCCTGAGCCAGCATGGCTGAACTTGGAACCTCTCCCTTTCCCCTCAGCATGGCTGGCTCAGGAATTCTGGGAGTTGAAGTCCACGAGTAAGAGAAAAGGAAAATTTTGATTTTTCCTTTGCTTTTTTCCACTGCCAGAATTTCATTTAGGAGACTTTAAATGTGCCATTGTCTCAGCCAGTGGTGAGATTCAGCCAGTTCACACCACTTCGGCAGAACCGGTAGCTAATTTTTTGTTGCCCAGGCCCACAATGGACTTCAGGAAGCCGCATCCACACAGAGAACTGGTTGTTCACCTATTCAGCCTTTCAGCTATATATTCTTACTAGGATAAACAGCTTAGTGTAGAAAAAGAAGATTTGTCAAGCAAATGATCAGCCTAGAGTCCTTACAATCTAAGTCCAATCCCCCTTGAATTCTGTTGACACTGTTCTATCTCCAATTATGCTGACTTTTAATGTTGACCATTAGATGACTAGATATTTTTTTTTGGTGTATAGGCCCCTGAAATAAATAATAAACCAGCTTAATTGGAAATTAATGGGTAGTCCTGATTCTTCATGCCTGACACTTAGTGATACATGCAAAGGCCTTTCATTGTTGGAAAATTCTCTATACATGCAAAGTGTTATAAATTATTTTGGGGCAAATCACACCCTTCCAGATTGTAAATCTTGTCATCTGCACTCAATAGCTTCCAGGAGAGATTGCTTAGAGAAATTTGGCCTGAAGAGCACAGAGAAGATTACCAAAGATGATGATGTTATTTGTACCACTGAATATTCCCGCATTGTGCCCTTGGAAAACGGGGAGGTAAGTAGCTTTAATCGCTTTTCTAATTCAAGTTCTATGTTTAAAGCGATAGGATTAGATTACAGGTAGTCCTCAACTTACGACCACAATTGAGCCCAAAATTTCTGTTGCTAAGTGAAACATTTAAGTCAATTTTGCCCCTTTACACAACTGTTCTTACCACAGTTGTCAAGTGAATCAGTTGTTAAGTTAGTGACATTGTTGTTAAGTGAATCTGGCTTCCCCCTTGACTTTGCTTGTCAAAAGGTCGCAAAAAGTGACCCCCGTGACATGGCAACCGTCACAAATATGAGTCAGTTGCCAAGTGTCTGAAGTTTGATCAGGTGACCATGGGGATGCTGCAGTGGTCATAAGTGTGAAAAATGGTCATCGGTCACTTTTGTCAGGGGCGTAACTTTGAAAGGTCACTAAATGAACTGTTGTAAGTCGAGGACTACCTATACATACATTAGTCGACTGTCCAACTAACAAACCCAAAAATGGAACCTTCAAGGCTTTGGAGTGCCATAAATATAAAACATTATTGAATACACATCTCGGAACTGAAGAAGCAAAACCAACTCTGGTTTTCCCGCCTGAAAATCTGCCTAGGTTAGGGGTAGGCAACCTTGGCTCAGGAATTCTGGGAGTTGAAGTCCACGAGTCATAAAAGAGCCAAGGTTGCCTACCCCTGGCCTAGGTAAACAGTAGCGTCCCTTGCCCCCACCTACTGGGTGCTCACATTGTCCAATCAAAAAACTTCGGCTTGTTATGGGAACGGTCCACTTCTCTGTCAAGCACCTGCATTAGTAACCTTGGCATTCCTGCAGGTCCTCATGATCCGTGAACAGCTTCTTGGAATCGCATCTCCCCCCCTGCACTTTCTACCCCTCCCTCCTTTTCTATGGCATGTTGATTAGTGATTCAATCTTGACAACATTTGCATTACATTCTTCTTGGTGTGATGGATTGGATTGAATGTTCATAGATTTCATGATACTTGTTTCTGTCTGGGAGTGAAGTAAGAGTTTGACAGGTGAATATATGAGTTCAGTTTCTGTGCTTAATTTGAAATCACGCACAATCCCTTTTTTTGTCTATACATTCGGTATAAAAAAGATTTGTCTGACTAGGTTTTAGTTAAGATTTATGAAACAAAGTTCGAAAAGTACTTAAGGTAGGAGGGCAGTAGAAAGAAGAGGCAGGAAAAATTAAAATATTGGGTCTGGCATGCAGCAATCAATAAGGAATATTGTAGAAATTCCACCTAGAAACTGTTGGAAGTCTATTTGCTTATTGATTAAATTTATACCCCAGTCTTCTGTGGGATATATGTCTTCTACCTAAGCTTTCGTTTCTTGTTCAAGTAGTCTTCAAATATTCCCCAGACTTCTCCTAAATGTAATTTTTAGCAACAGATCTAAATGTTACAGAAGTAAAGGATGAGATTCTTAGTGTTCCAAGTTGTATAATAAAGATCTAATTTCATGCCTGGAAGAAGAATTAAAGGGAAAAAAATTACTTTAGCGCTGTCATGCTTGCAAATTCATTGGAGAAGGTCGTGATACTTGGAATGGTTAGGGCAGGGGTAGGCAACCTTGGCTCTTTTATGACTCGTGGACTTCAACTCCCAGAATTCCTGAGCCAGCCATGCTGAGGGGAGAGGGAGAGGTTTCCATGCTGAGCCATGCTGGCTCAGGAATTCTGGGAGTTGAAGTCCACGAGTCATAAAAGAGCCAAGGTTGCCTACCCCTGGGTTAGTGGAACAAGAAGAAGGGGCAAGCAAAGAATAGGCTGGCTTGATAACATCAAATCTGACACAAAGATGCACAACCAACAATTGAAAGAAGCTGCACTCGACAAGGGTGGCACTGAAAGCAGTTGCCTATAAAGTCGCCAAGAGTCGGACACAACTAAACGGTTAAATAACAAGAATATATTCAGCAACAACATTTTTTCCTTCTTCTTCTTAGCAGATAGCTGATTTTCTTGCTTTTTCCAGTCTCGTGAACTTTACCTTTTAATCATGTTTTGAGCTTTCTGAAGCTGATAATAGACTGTGGGATTTTGCACTTCTTGCATCCTGTTGCTAAATTCTACCGTAATTTTGAGTCCTGCTGGCAGAATTGTTCCATCTGTGTTAAATGCTGTGTTCCAGCTGGCAAATCCTACTGAGAATTGGGGAAAGAGATGGGATGTATAGCAAAAAAAAAAAAAAAAAAAAGATATTGTACAGTTGCAGGCATCCTTTCTCACAAAGCAAAATAGAGGTAGTCCTCGACCTACGACCACAATTGAAACCACAAGATTTCTGCTGCTAAGCGAGATTGCTGTTAAGTGAGTTTCGCCCCATTTTGCAGCTTTTCTTGCCACAATTGTTAAGTGAATCACTGCAGTTGTTAAGTTAGGAACACGGTGGTTAAGTGAATCTGGCTTCCCCATTGGCTTTGTTGTTCAGAAGGTTGCAAAAGGGGATCATATGACCCCGGGACCGTCGTAAACATGAGTCAGTTGCCCAGCATCTGAATTTTGATCATGTGACCATGTGGATGCTGCAAAGGTCATAAGTGGGAAAAGGGTCATAAGTCACTTTTTTCAGTGCCATTAATAACTTCAAATGGTCACTAATCAGCCTGTTGTAAGATGAGGACTACCTGTATTGTCTTTACAGAGGCAAACACATGTCTTTGTGGAGAAGAACTGAAACACATAATTCCACATGGATGGCTGCTTGTCATAGCAGTTTTGTCATTTCTAAATGTTCAATAACATTAAAGATATAAACCTGGGTTATAGCATTTATCAAATTAAGTGCTAAACATTCACAAATGTTTGATGCTGAGACATGCATCTGCAGATATTCCTTAAAAAGACTGACTGTGGTTTCACAATCTTGTAAGCTTGATGGTAGTTCGGCCTAACGTGCCAATTAGACATGGGCTGTGGTGAGATTAATTTTATGAAAGAATATCCTACATCACAATCTGTGGCTAATTTATAGGTAGTCCCCAACTTATGACGATACATAAACCGAAAAAGTTGTAAAATGTGGTCACATGACTGTAGGATGCTGCAAACAGCAGTAAATAACAGAGTAACAGAGTTGGAAGGGACCTTAGAGGTCTTCTAGTCCAACCCCCTGCTCAGGAAGGAACTCCTATACCAGGGGTAGGCAACCTTGGCTCTTTTATGACTCGTGGACTTCAACTCCCAGAATTCCTGAGCCAGCATGGCTCAGCTTGGAAACCTCTCTTTTTCCCCTCAGCATGGCTGGCTCAGGAATTCTGGGAGTTGAAGTCCACGAGTCATAAAAGAGCCAAGGTTGCCTACCCCTGTCCTATACAAACCCTATACCAAATATGGGTCAGTTGCCATGCACTCGAAGTGGATTCACACGATCATAGCAGTGTGAGGCCCATTGGAAGTTTGGAACTGGGTGGAAAGTACCCCCCCTAGGAAGATCTGTCATAAATTTGAGCGGTTGCTAAGAAACCGGACGTAAGTCAAGGACTACCTGTATATCATTTCTGTAAATTTTGCATTGTTGCCTCTTTGAAAAATGTTGCAACTCAATTTTGTTAATGAAGTAATCTGTGTAAATGATGTCGTTGCACAAATTGTGAAACTGGATCCAGATTGTGTATATTGTGTCAATCAGGGTTATATGCACAACTTCACGAGGGACATACATCTAGCCAGTCAGATCAGCTGAATCTACCCTGATCAGTGGGGTGACATGTGTCATAGCCAGATGGTCATTATATGGAAATTCACTTTATTAGACCTTTGATTCCAATGTAATTCCTTACTTCAGTTAATCTTTAATGTTGTTTCTTAATCTTGGCAACTTAAAAGATGTTTCGACTTCAACTCCCAGAATTCTGGGTGTTGAAGTCCACAGATCTTAAAGTTGCCGAAGCTGAAAAACATTTACCTATAAAATTAAAGTTTTCCTGTATTATTCTTTAATATTTTGTTTTCGTCTATCTGGAACGATTGTTGAATTTGAAGCCACATTTATCATGAACTGTGAGAACTCATGAAATTAATATTAGACCCTGAGCCACAGTGCTAACCTGTAATCTAAAACATTGCTCACAAGTTTATTTTTCATCCCCAGTTGCCTCATCTATAAAGCCAGCATAGTTATGATTTATCTGCCAGGTCTGCTGTGCAGTGGAGTGAGATGAGAAAATAATTTACCCTAAGCTTTAAAGAAGCACATAAGAATTGAATTAATCCGACCCTATAGACAAATTATTTCCAGATGAAAAATCAAATGGATTTTTACCCTACTAGAAACATTCCCAGAAATCTGACATCTCAAAATAAAACTGGAAAGACATGGGGATTTATTTTTTTCCAAGGATTTTTAATTACTTCAAATCCTCCTCCCCATCTTAGCTGAAAAGTTGGATGATGAAATAATTGATCGTATATATTTTAAATAATGCATAATGCTGGAAAAAAAGGTAAAGGTTTTCCCTTTCTAGTCGTTTCTGTGTTCATCTCCGTTTTTCTTAGCTGAGGGAGACAGCATCGTCTGAAGACACTTTTGTCGTCATGTGGCCAGCATGGCTATATTGCTGAGGTGCACGGAACACTATTACCTTCCCACTGAAGTGGTACCTATTTATTGTTCTTGTTGTTAGTTGCAAAGTCGTGTCCAACCCATCGCAACCCCATGGACAACGTTCCTCCAGGCCTTCCTGTCCTCTACCATCTTCTGGAGTCCATTTAAGCTCACGCCTACTGCTTCAGTGACTCCATCCAGCCACCTCATTCTCTGTCGTCCCATTCTTCTGTTGCCCTCAATCTTTCCCAGCATTAGGCTCTTCTCCAGTGAGTCCTTCCTTCTCATTAGGTGACCAAAGTCCTTGAGTTTCAACTTCAGGATCTAGCCTTCTAAGGAGCAGTCAGGGTTGATCTCCTGTAGGACTGACCGGTTGGATCGCCTTGCAGTCCAGGGGACTCGCAGGAGTCTTCTCCAGCACCATAGTTCAAAGGCCTCAATTCTTTGGCGCTCAGCCTTTCTTATGGTCCAACTTTCTATTCGCAGTTGCATGCTTTCAAATTGCTCTGGCAAGCAGGATCTGGGGAAAATAATGGGAGCTCATTCCATCATGCAGCGCCCAGTTCTTGAACCCGGGCTCTCAGCTTTCTAGTTGACAAGCTCAGCATCTTTAACCGCCGAGCCATTGCGCCCCCCTCATGCTGATAAAAGTTGAAATGTCTTCATTCGTGAAATAAATTAGTCTATGTTTGGAAGGAAGCCTTTTTCTACCATGGCGTCCGCTCTCTGGAATATAATTCTTCGAGAAATCAGATTGACCCTCAACCTTGCTGGCCTTCCTCAAGCACTAAAAACTTGATTTTGTGCCCAAGTGTGCAGCCCTTGTCTTCTGGCTGTGTAAATGGTTGATTTATAATTTAGCTACCATGTGTCTTTTTTTAACGTATGTATTTTTTGTGTTTTTATTGTAGTTTTTATCTATTTTTATTGTAAGCCGCACAGAATCACATATACGAGATGAGATTTTGATATAAATCAATAAGATAGATAAAGAAAGAAAGAAAGGAAGAAAGAAAGAGAAAGAAAGTGTAAAAGAAAGGAAGGAAAGAAGGAAGGAAGGAAAGAAAGAAAGAAAGAAAAAGAAAGAAAGAAAAAAAGAAGGAAGAAAGAAAGGAAGGAAGGAAGGAAGGAAGAAAGAAAGAAAGAAAGAAAGAAAAAGAAAGAAAAAGAAAGAAAGAAAGAAAGAAAGAAAGAAAGAAAGAAAGAAAGAAAGAAAGAAAGAAAGAAAGAAAGAAAGAAAGAAAGACTGGAAGTATATCCAAACCAGCCGTTAACGTATGAGACACTTCCTTTCATTTTGTATTATTCCTAAATCCAAGAATAGGATGGATAAGAAGAGCAAAAGATTAGTCAGAGTTAAAAAAAAATTACTGATGATATTTCACATTCAGGAAAGAATTAGTCAATTTTTATTGGCACCAAAATACGCATTTTCAATCCCTTCCCCTTCCTTTTCCCCCTGTATTTTCTGTGTCTGTGCCGAACAAATAGTTTTTCATTCTTTTGATACAGTAGATGATGGTGATGGTAGTAGAAACGACAGAAAGCAGAGAAATCTGTCTAGTTTCTGCCAAAGAAGAAACGGAAATTCTTCCTCTTCTTCTTTCTGAGATCTTGAGGTGGTGGTAGGGTGAGGTATTTGTGTGGATGGGAGGTGACATTGGGAGAGAGATTAAAGAATAAAGAGGGACATGGTGCCAGCCAGTTGCTCACAACCAGAAGGAAGGGTGAAGGAAGACACATCTGATCCCTTGAGGGACAATGGGAAGGGGAAAGCAGAAGTAAGAGAGGGAGGACTAAAGATGGCAAGAAAGAAAGAAAGAAAGAAAGAAAGAAAGAAAGAAAGAAAGAAAGAAAGAAAGAAAGAAAGAAAGAAGAAAGATAGAGATAGATAGATAGAGATAGATAGATAGATGTTTATGTTTATTTATTTAAATTTTATTTAGATAGATGGATGGATGGATGCATGGATGGACGGACGGACAGATAGATTCAAAGTAGGAAAAGAACAGTTAAAAGTTCCTTGAGAAGGGAGGAGAAAAATTCATAGGACTTAAACTGAGGTTGATACCATGTGATACCATGTTATCCATCCATCCATCCATCTTTCCTGTTGAATAGAATAGAATAGAATAGAATAGAATAGAATAGAATAACAGAGTTGGAAGGGACCCTGGAGGTCTTCTAGTCCAACCCCCTGCTCAGGCAGGAAACCATATACCATTTCAGACAACAGTATCGTAAAAAACAGAATAGAAACACAACTTAGGCAAGAAAATGGTAAGTGAGCACCTGTCCACCCTAGATGAATTCAAATCACCAGGACCAGATGGATTATACCCCGAGGTTCTCAAGGAACTGGCAGATGTGCTCTCAGAACCACTGAACTATATCTTTGAAAGATCCTGGAGCACTGGGGAACTACCAGAGGACTGGAAAAGAGCTGATATAGTTTCCATCTTCAAAAAAGGGGGGGAAAGTAGAAAAAATAATTCTTGAGTCATGTGATCCATAATATAGGTAGCCCTTGACTTAAACCATTCATTTAGTGATCATTTGAAGTTACAACAGCAGTGCAAAAGGTGACTTTATGACCGGTTTTCACACTTACAGCCGTTGCAGCGTTCTCCCCTAGTCAAAATTGCGACGCTTGGCAACTGGCCTGTATTTATGTCGGTTGCAGTGTCCCGGGTTCACTAGATCCACTTTTGAGACCTTCTGACAAGCAAAGTGAAAGGGGAAGCCTCATTCAAATAATAATAATAATAATAATAATAATAATAATAATAATAATAATAATAATAATAATAATAATAATAATAATAATAATAATAATGTTGGAAGGGACTTTGGAGGTCATCTAGTCCAACCCCCTGCTCAGACAGGAAACCCTATTCCAGTGATGGCAAACCTTTTAGAGACCGAGTGCCCAAACTGCAACCCAAAACCCACTTACGTATC